GACGCTGTTATTGACCGCTTTAATCGGGCCCACGGATCATTGCAGTTCACCTACGAAAAGGAATTGAACGATCAGTTGCCGTTTCTTGATGTGCTGTTAACTAGAAGGGCAGACGGCTCGATCCAACGGCAAGTCTACAGGAAGAAAACCTGGAGTGGCCAGTATACGAACTTTCACAGTTTCGTTCCGTTGAGATATAAGCGAAACCTAATTCGCTGTCTAACCACAAGGGCCCACAGGATCTGTTCTGAAGACAAGTTGGATAATGAGTTGACGCTCATTCAGAATTTGCTGCGCGAAAACGGATATCCTGATCGTTTCATTTTGAGGAACATGCGAAGTAAGCCCGACCAGTTACAGGTTCAGACAGCAGAGAAAAAAGAACTTTTCATACGACTACCCTTCAAGGGAGACGCCGCTGCTGAGCGTGTAACTAGAAGCCTTTCAACAGCTGTCAAGTCAACTTTTCCAGCAGCCAAACTTAGGTGTACCTTTTCCACGGAGCCACTCATCCGTATTTACAACAAAGACAAGTTACCGACGCTGACCGCTTCTATGGTAATTTATCAGTTCAAGTGCGCTTGTGGCGCTACTTACATCGGTCGAACGGCGCGGCAACTTTCGAAACGCATTAAGGAGCACCTACCACGTTGGTTGCGTCGAGGTGGTACTGGAGCTATAACTAGCTCAGTTATGGCTCATCTGGTTGATAGTGGGCATGAGGTTGACCCAGTCAGTGCCTTTCGAATACTGTACAGGGTCCCTCCACTCCAGTCGAAAGGCCTGCGCCTCCGGACCCTTGCTACTGCCGAGGCGATCAGCATTCGGTTGTACCAACCTCTTTTGTGTGCACAAAAGAAGCTGATCGAAGCTGTTCAGCTACCTTGGCCAGCCAAAACGGATCCTTCGGACAGCAACTGCAATTGTGCAACGGTACCTCAGACCTAGTTTGCTGTTTGTTACTGGTTCATGTCTTTGATCGACACGTGATCTATCTCATTTGAACTGATCGTTAATCCCCTTGTACTTTCCTATTGCGATTTCAACCATATGATTGTACAGGTCTGAAGATGAATCATCGAAAACAATTGTTCACCCTCGGTCTTTCGTTCCTGAATATAAGAGCATATGTTATCCTAACATGTTAGCATGTACCTGTGACTTTCGGTTGTTTACCACCCTAACAACTGTTCTTGGTCTTAGGAAAAGGCTATGGTAACAAGGATATAAGAGACATCTTTGGAGTTACGGATCATCATGAGGTTTTGTTTCTACGGATAATGTCAGCAAGGGACATTCGCACTGAGTTCCCACAAACACTTGGAAAAAGATATCCATCCTACTGCGCTGTTAGAATTTGGATATCTCGTTTTAAGATGGGGAGTTTAATTACTGATGATAAGTTCTGCAATCTACAGCGCCAGACCACAACGGGCTTGCAACCTCCTATACTATTCATGAGATGATTATGAAGTATCGGCGACTATTTGCAAAAGGTAAGTAGCTCAGTTACTAGATATTCCACGTGAAAGGGTTGAATTCGATATCTCGGCTATGCTATACATGAGCAAGCATTCGACTAAGTGGGTGCCGAAATGTTCATGCAGAGATCAGAAGAAAGAACATGCTGAAACTTCCAAAGCTGTTATGACTCATTTTGAAGTTGCGTAGAAAATTTCGGTTATGACAGTGACTGAAGAGTAAACAGGACTTCAATTCTATGATCTCGGGACCAATGCAAAAGCAAAGGAATGTTCGCAGGAAGGAGTCTCAGCAGTCAGAAACTGGTAAAGAAGTTATGGTGTCCGTTATCCGAGACAAGACGGTATTATGTGGCTATACTACCAAATTAACGTAGGCCAAACTGCTTCTAATGTCGGAAATTAATTGTCGGTTTAAGTTTGGTAAGTTCGTCGCTTGGTGAGGGGGCTACCCTGTCCTCTGCACAGCAGTAACGTGCAAGTCAATGGATAGTGAGCGGCGCTATGTCAAATCTAGTAACGCATGCACGATGGTCGTTGACTTCCCCCGTAGCTCATTGGTCTCAACCACGGAGTGCCAACAGTCCAATTGCGAGTTCGAGCCCCAACAGGGTCCGATGGAATGCGCATTGCTGACGATTCCCAAAAGGATGAAACACGCGTACGGTGCTTTTCCGGGCGTGGGATGGCTGTCTGAGTGAGTCTAGATGTGACGAATTGCTACCTGATTTATGTATTGCAAGACAATGCACCTGTAAACACGTTAAACTTTCTGAGCGTCAAATTAACCTTTGATTTCTATTTGAGCTCTTGTCTCCCCTGTTTATCTGACCTTGAACCTTGGGAATATTGTCTTTTACCGAAATTGAAGAAAGGCCCGATGAGTCAATGCTCTGAATATATTCCATCATGCTGCTAACAGGTGTTTTGAGACCAAACGGAAGGAATTTTATTTAAACGGTCAAAAGTACTAAAACTACGCCATACAAAATACACCAGTCCCAGTGGAGCATATGTTGACTAACTGTTATGACGTCTTACACTGCTCACCGCAACCCAATCAGAACGGGAGCAAGAAGGCACCGCGTGAGGACGAGGTGTTTTGAAAACTGACATGCGTGAGCGAACAGAATAAACGGAAAATCGATAGGTTAGTCAGCCAATCACGTGAAAGAACATGGGCAACGATTGGCAAAACTGTGAAGGACTATCATACGTGAGTCCTAGCAACCCGAAATGCGCTATTTTCCAGCTCTGGCTCACTTCTTTCTGATCAAAGTAAACATTTGTTAGCCTCCGCTGCGCATGACATATCGCTGACCGGTTACTCTGGGGTTCCATTCAACAAGTGTGGCTACGGTAAAGAGCCTAATCCGATGCAGCCAACAGACGGATAGAGGAGAACCTGGCGGCGTGAAGTTCAGCACCAGAGGGGCTATGGTCGAACCCAAAGTGACTGACCTCTACAATCCTCATGACAAGTTATATCGTCTTGAACGACTGCAAGTGTCGGCCACTGGTGTGCTTGCGATCCACAGGTTCTTTGCAGCACAAACTGGTGGCTGGGCTTCTTTGAACCAGTGCGCAGCAGAATACGGGTTGCGGGGTTGTGTTTCTAGTAATTGATAACTGTGGATGCGATTTCCCGTCCCGTAACATCAAGTCAACTTAGACCGGTTCACGAATGCATTAAGTCCACCTCTGGAGCTTGGATGGACAGCTGCAATACGCACAGCTTCAGTAGAAGTAACCAAAGAATGCTATTACCAGAGAATAGCAGTAAAAAGGAAAAACATGACAATCATAGACAGAAGTAATAGCTCTGATTAACCCGGTCCATCAATCTATGATAACAGAGCCCTTGTTCACCAAAACGGATACTACATAAAGAGTATAACCAAGATATTTGTGTAGGCATAGAGGGTTTGTACTTTAGGATAGGCTCATATACTCCTGTCCTTCCAAACGTCAATATCTGATCTGATACTTAAAATTTTCATAATCCACCTGTGACTAACTTTCTGTACAACACTGCACTTACCCGATCATTCCGATACAATCGTGTCTCGCCTCGTCGAGAATAAAAACATGGTCATTTATTTATTTAATGTCACCGAAGTTCCGCAACATCGAGACAAATGCTTTAGCGACCCGGTACCTGATATTCAATCAGTATCAGTGAGTACTAGGGTGTTCATTGCATTGTTAAAACGATTCGCCACAGTTTGACTCAACGGCATAAGTCGCTAACTCGTAAGAGTAAAATCATGGGTTCGAATGCAGCAGAATGCGGCGAGTGCGCGCTACTGACCAGTGCCAATAAGACGAACTGGCCGTATACCGCTTTCCTGGATGTGTGGTGGCTGTCTGACTGAGTCCAGCTGCGGTACATCTTCCCAAAAACACAGTAAATCCCCCTCTTGCTCATTAATCAGCAGTAAACACTTTAGCAGGTAATATTCCACCTTAGTTCGTAGAGGCGTGCAAAGGCAGTCATGGCTCGGGGCCCGCGCCTCCTCTGTACCTTGGTAATACGTATGAAGGTGGAGGATAAGCCGCTCTATATCGCAGTTATATATCAGTAATGGTTGTCCGCCGCCGTCACCAATGGCTCAGTGGCCTAACTCGCTGACTCCTAAGAGTAAGTCCATGGATTCGGATCCGGCAGATGCGCTGCTGACGAAACTTAATGAGACAAAAGGGCAGTCTAACGTCTTCCGGAATATGTAAGTCCGGCTGAGTCTGGCTGCGACGAATTTTCTTAATTCACTCAGTATGTCCGAAATGATAATGGGGCGGTGCGTCTTGTGGGGGGATCAAGTAGTGCGAAAACCTAAATTCAAGCAAGTGAAATCCGAAACGAATTATAGCTGAGAAATGTAACACGACAGCATGAGGACGTCGTAGTTATTGCATTCATGTAAAGTGACCACGACACCACATGTCGCAGTGCGAGTCCTGGATACTGAACCTGTCTGTACACGGATGCAAACCTCTGCTGTGGATACAAATCACAAGGAATTCAATGAGGGGGTTTCTGGCGCGGACACCCTTTTATGGTGAGAAATGGACATAGTCGCACATGGATAAATTCAGTAGCTGGCTACTGAAAACTGGCTGCATATTAGCATGTGCAAGACGAATTTCTACTTTAGCCGAAGGAAAAGGGAAGAATCACAGTTCTTGCAGCCACGTGAGGTTGAATTCGAGTGGGGACACCGTCGACACGCCCAAACCCAAGCAGGAGAGAGGACTTGAACCCTAGAATAGAGATAGTAGGCGAAACATCAAAATCACAACACCATGGCTGAAAGAGAAGCTGGAGGATAGTCGCCATCCAAGTTCGCTACAACGTTGTTCGTGCTTACTGATTGGACGCGATGTGAACTTTCTCATTTTTCATTAAATGTTCATCGATATTAAGTTCCCTCTTACCGTATTATAACCGGCTGCTTGGTTTACCGACTGTGTCGGCCATAGTAAATTACGTGTTAGACGCACGAAAGTACCGTAACTCACTCCGACAATTCTCCGGGATCCATGGAATCGGATGCGATCCGATGGGCATCTTCCCACATTCCGGCAGCGTTATACATCTCAATGGCCAAACTGACACTATTTGCCTTGACGAAAGCGACCTCGGCGGCTTTGAACTGTTGACATGCCGCGTAGTGTTGTCCCAGTTTGAGGAAGTACGGTGCCAGCACCTGGGGTGATTTGCTGTCCTCGATCGAAGCCAGTATGTGCTCTGCTTTGGTCCACTGACGAGAGTTGAGAGCAGCATCAACAGCCTTCAGATAAGCTCTGTTAGTGACGTATGCACAAGAGAGAAAAGTGGCATAATGACGATAAGGAAGAGGAACAAAGTCTAGCGATAATCGTTTGCGAGGTGGGGACAAATTCATGACTTCTTTCCTTCAAAAAATGACTTTTTTTGAAGCCAAAAGTGGAAACTACACGCTTCTAAAACGCCAGAAGATCCGTCGAGTGTCACTTAGTGTGTTCGTCGATAGTTAGATTGAAGGAGCTCATCAATAAAATAACAATAAGCATGTAGTAGATTCTTGCGTACCTTACATTTGGTATTAGTACAACTATTAACTAATATGCGTTCCTGACTGGTTCGCTAGGTTAGTGGTTTTAAGTTTAGATGCACCTTAGCTGACCTGCAGCCCCGAGTTCGAGTCGTAGTTCTGCTATCTCTGCTTGATTAGTTCGAAACCGGTCGTAGGAAAGCAGAGTTGCAAGGGTGCAACATCTAATGATTATCTACCTCAGTTGTGGTCCCAGTGACCAAGTTAAACTGGTCCATGTGGTGGTATCTTCGGATCAGAGCAGATGGACCAACCGAGCGAGCCAGACAGCCAATGGGAGGTGGGGGTGACAGTTTTGATTACTGGACTCGCATTGGTTGATATTCGTGTGAGTGATTCACCGTTTGTTTAACTGGAGCAAAGAAGGAAATTCGTCGACTCAGATGGGTCGTTAGTTATGGGCATGAAATCACCATTTAGATGGTGGAGTCTGGCTTGCCAAACATGCTGTAGTTTTCGCGGACTTGACATTGCTGAATAAAAATGTGTCCTTGAAGGACTGAGTTCTACAACATGGTGTCAGAGCAGACAAAGGCGAATCGCACCGGTGGCGCTCCGATGCATTTTGTATCACCAGCGTCTGTTCAGTCCACTTCGAAGTGCATTCTGGTCTAGATCAGCTTAGCAGCGAATATCAACTTGGGACCCAGCTGTTGCAACGTGCTTCCCAGGAATGCGACCTTGGAGCGATCGTGCAGAATGATCCTGACTGCTCGAGACAGGCATCGAAAAGGGCCACTCAACATCTTGGACTCTTACGGAGAGCTTTCGGAAATTTTGAGCCATCAATCTTTCCGCAAATGCTGAACGCCTACGTGAGGCCCCACGTGGAATACGCGATCCAGGTCTGGCGTCCCTGGCGCAAGCACGACGTCGACGCACACGAAGCTCCCCAAGTTAGAGGGACCAAACTCGTCAGATGATTTTTTCACCTCCCCTACCAGCTTAGGCTGCGGGCCCTGAGATCGTACGGTGGCGAATTTGGTCGTCAACGAGGAGACCTCATCACGGTTTACTTAATATTGACGTACCTAATTCACTCTTGTCGCAACCTGGTGCAACTGAGTCGAAATACCAAACTGAGAGGTCACCATCGCAAACTGGCCACGCACTACAGTCATCTTGATTACCGACAAAACGCGTTCCCTCTTCGGGTGTCCCGAATCTGGAACGCCCTTCCAACTCACGCCATCCTTGCCCCTACATTAACGCTTTTCAAAAACGTCTTGATGGCATACTTTTTAAACCGCATTACTTGATGTAGCCCGTTTTACTCGGAAAGGGAAGTAACACGAATCATACTATGTGCTTAACACCCTCTCCGCAACGTGGCGTTGAGGATACATGTAGAAGTGCCCTTGTAAATAGTTTGGATAAACTTAAACTAGATTAACATATCACGTCGGTCAACTCAAGCGGTATAAGAGTGAGCGTTCTCATTTCCGCTTTTATATCTTACGGAGTATGAACTATAACTGATCTTGTTATAACGCTGCCCTCGCGTCTGTTCTCTACTCTGTCAACCAAGCCGGGGACGAAAACCGAAAACTGAAGCCTGCTATACCGAAGTATATTAGGAGTAGAAGGCGGCTGTGTTTAAAGGTCTCATGCTCTTACTTCGTCGGTCTGTCACTGAAGTGAATCACATTTCTTGTCCGGGTAGATTCGACCCTGGTAGCGATCTTAACTGTCTGGCTATAGGCATGATCATGTCCGCATCAGAGCAACCTGTGCGATGATGGCGATCTGATTTCATCAGCTTCCAGTGTGACTCGGTCGCGCCACCGTTGGTGGAGTAGTAACCCGAGAAACGTCTCGAAACCGTACCATGTGCTCAGACTGCGGCCTCCGTTTAGGTCTACATACTATTCTTTGGCAAACTATATTCCAATTGCAAACTACGGTTATGCAGCAGTGCAGTTAAATCGGTATAAGCTTAAAGTGACCATTTAATTGCAATTTTCACTCTAACCATCCTACGGGACTTGTCAAGAATATGCCTTTTTATCCGTGATAAGTCATCGTTCATTGTTCATTGAGAGTATGTGGAGTTTTCTATTCATACAACAATTAGGCCAGAATGGCCGCCGGTTAATTGCAATCGTGTTTTGACAGCTGACCAAAGAGACCCTAACGTGGGAGCCGTAGCGTCAGTGAGCACATACATAGGTTAATACCACCTGTCTCGATATCTATCGAATGCCCCAATATTCTCTGATAGCAAGCGTTTCTAGCATTACAGTCACCATTTATGTAAATCAAAAATAATAGGTGAAACCAATAGCGGAGGAATTATCCCGTCATTCCTTATTACAGTGCTAGTGTCCAGGCCGGGGCTGATGAAGCCTGTGTTGCGCTATGTCGTCTCAAGTGGGCATTAATTGAATGACTTACATGTTCTGGTCGTTTATGGATGTGTGATGTACCATGACTTGCTGTGTGCACTCGTCCGATGCTTCTGCTTTTATTAGTACCCCCAGGCGAATGCCAACCGTTTGAAGGATTTGTGAAGAGCTCTGTCATCGAATTGACCCTGCGCTAAAATAGTGGCTCCAACACTGGCTTTGGCACACCCGATGTGTATCATTCTGCCAAGTGAACGTCAATCATCGGGGTACCACATTAGTTTCTCGGCTATCGGCTATCCGTCAAATCCGCGGTTCGTCTCATCCTGCGCATTTTATCTACCGTCTCTGACTTTTAGACGTCACTAGCCACGAGCCTTGTTGCTGCAGTGCGAGGTAGCTTAGAAAAAGTTGGTTCTGTTATCCACCAAGTCAGCGCCGTCATAACTCCGAGTTCACCCTGGCTATGGTGTATGCGGGAGGAGCCAGTCATGGTCGTCGTATACATTCGGATGTGTCCTTTGACTGTTAAGCAACACAACAACAAGCGTGGTGAGGGTGGCCAGCATGCGATGGCGTTGCTTACACTTATCACTCAGTGTGTGTGAGAGATCAGTTGGAACAGATGACAAAATTGTGAAGGTGCCTTTCTGAACAACAACAAAGTTGACCGTTCCAGATTAGCACCTTCTAGCGATTTTTTCGACGGCAGTGGTCCAGGAAATGGTGGGTTTTAACCTGACAAGCTTCCTCTCTATAGAAATGCACATATGTCCGTTTAACAATGCTGCGCCGTGGCGGATGTTACTTGCCACTGAGCAAACTCACTGCGCTTTGCCTCACCCTGGTAAGCATATTACTCCAGCACCCCGCAGCTGGAATTGTGAGGAGGATTGGGCTCCTGTTTTTCAACCTACCACACGAAAGGCGTGTGAACCGAGCAAGCAATCACCAGCTCCAAATACCTGCCTTCGCTTCGCTGCCTTGCGGGCAGTCTATTTAAGCAAGTTATCGGGCCCGGATTGCCCTAAGTCATTTTCCCACATCGGGTAAGGCAACTGGAGAGTAGCACACCTCTTGAAAAAACCATGGATTTCTCTGTACTTTGTTGTGTTTCCTTGTTGCCGTGACAGTAACTTCTTTAGAAATCCATGGTTTTTGATGGCTCTGTGCCTGTCCGTAGTGTTGAAATGGTATATATTTATGAATACTCCCACAGTGCTGCAGTTTCTCAACTCGAAAGTTTCTTGTTTGTTTCCGAGTAGTATTTGAAGTGGTTTTCCGCTTCTCATAGGGACGTCTAGTTTACGAAAACAAATCTAGCGATATGTTTGTTTCTAGTGTCAGACTGTCCTTAGTGACATACAATCTATCGTTTTATTAAGCGGATGCTCCATATCTAGTGTGCTGATTGTGATCAGTACTTAATGGCTCATGTTTATGTGTCTTCTATTATTTTGGGGCAGGGAAGGTATCAAAGATGGAGTATACTCGTATACCTGTTGTCGGGAAGAAAGCAGATAGTTTAAACTAAAAACAGCTAAGTCCATAAGGGCTTCCATTGCCAAACCTGATCATGTGATCCATTTGTGGTGCACAGAAACTCTAGTATTCAAAGACGTGTTTGTTGTGGTAGTCAGTACTACATCCAGATAGTGATGATGATCCCCGTGATGTGGCTACTCACCCTGCCTCGATAAAGTGGTGTATGGCGCTGTCCATCTGTTGCTGCGTCACCAGGTAGTCACCCCAACACTCTTCCAACTTCACCACCTCACTGGGGAATGATGTGCGCGCCAACTCGACTGCAGGTTGAAACGCGTGACCTTGACGGTAACATCGCATAGCACTTTCCAACTGGCCCATGTGCTGATACAGTTCGCCGGCTTTCTCCAACAGTTCGCATTGTACAAGAGCCTAAAATACAGCGCGGAAATTGGGTTGTTAATAATAAACCTTTGACTCCTGCAGTTAGAAGTTGCACGGGGTAAATAAGAATCGTGGATGACGTGGCACCAGGCTTACTGAACAATGCTGCTACATGTTCGGGGATTTGAAACTTATCCAACGCCTCGTAATGCCCACGTTTGTTTATTATGGTGTATGTGTGGAACCGAAATGAAATTCGAATATCAGCTAACATATTTAAGCATGGAAAATCCATCCAACATACACCTTGCTTAGTGTAAACAACAGCAAAGGAATTGAAATCACAAGTCCTAGTCGCTCACAAGTTCTTCTCTTGTGAGCTGTTCTTCTCCAGTGAAAAGTGTCACAGACTGGTGTGGATGCACACTAAGCGGTATCTAATTCAAAACGCGATGTTGGACAACCAGTTTGCAACAGTAGAGGTAACATGGATTCGGTTCCCAGTTTATCAGTGTGTTCCGTCTTTTAACTTAACCGTGCACTCGGGTCAAGGAACCACATCAGGTCCTCGTCTTTAGAGCTACCAGCAGATACTATGCGTAGTATACTATGCGTATACCGTCTAATAACCAAGAGAAAAATGGCAAGAGTATGGAGTTGCGTATTGGTGACTTGTGCATGCTCGATGCGCAGCGTCAGCTCAAAAGTTATCGGTTGATGTGTGCACACTCATAGGTAATTGCAAGGAACCACTAAGGGGAAATAGACCAACCTGGACGATTCGCTCCATCAGAGTTCTGTCGGAGACCAACTGCGGTTCATTGAGAGCCAGACGAGCTGCTCTGCCTGGAAGTCGAGCTCTGAGGAACAGTGTGATTGCGCCGACCAGGTCGCCTTCTCGCTGCCGCAACTCTGCAGCCTTCTCATCCTGACCGGTCTCACTGAGCCAAGTTTGGTACTCTTTCCTCAGCTTATCCAGTCCGGTCCAAGACTTAGCTTCCGCGATCTATGATAGGAGTGTGGACGAGGGATAAGGGTGTAAGCAGCATAACGTGACTTCCATTACTGGACTCAGTGTGACTGTTAAAGTCTCTGTTTAGCTCCCAAAAAGGAACTATTAAGTCAGGCTACCTTGGGATTCGGAATAGATATTGGCAACGTTACATCTCTTTTACCAATACGGTCGGCAGCAACCGCTTTCAGCTTAGCATATCAATGCTAATGCGACTACGAATAGCCGCAGTAAGGCACCACCTAAAGTTCCACCCACAAATTTCACTGTAAACCTTGGAAATTGGGTAGGAGTCACTAAACAATCGGAGCAAAACTACAATCCAACCATAAGCACTCTCCTGGGTCCGGTGATCGCGTTTGCCGCATTGAAAGTATAGGCACTCCGTCAACGTTTGGACGAAGGTACCCAAACATGAAATATTTATCAGCGACAAAAGTCAAACACAAGTCAGTCACTCGAATACAGTCCGAATATGGCGCATACTTCGTTTGCCTCGACCACCGTGGCATCCAAATATAACGCTCTGGTGAAAACTCAGCTTAGATATCCTCCATTGATATACGCGCTTCCAACCTGCAGAGGACAGGGTCGACAAGTTCAATAAGCCACCATACAACCGATAACATTAAGAAGCAGCTTGAATGATTACTAATGTTTAGTGAGTACTGCAACGGAGCATCGGATCAATTTATAAAAAAAGTTCTTCATGGTTACACATTCAACAGTCCATGATAAGTCCGGAAAAACAACCAAAAACCGTGTTGTCCATTGGGAACATGTCAACAATGTATCCGCTATCCAAAGGTGGGTGATGAGAATCCGCGATTATGTCAGTTCCAGGCGAACGGGATAATCGCTGAACCAGTTTTCTATTGATTGCAATCATTAGAGGCAAGCCACCACTGAGCCGGGATGTGATGCTATGTCCCATGTATATCCTCGACGTCTGCACAGAATAGTCTGCACATGCAATCTTTGCATCTGAAGACCAAAGTTACTTTGCCTTAATGAGTATATTTCTGACACCGCACCCTAACGAGAGTCGGGCTGGACAAAGGACGAGGGTGCGTTGTAGTGTTGACTGACTGTTATCCAATGGCAGGCACTTGGACACGGAATGTGAGATGCTGCAATGGCACCAAAGCGGACACGATATCTGCGAATGACAATCTAAAGCTCTAAATCAGTACGCCACACAATTCTGAAGTCCAAGTATGGTGATTGCAGGCACAGCGGAACAGCATACCAGCAGCTGCCTCCGGAATAACTAACGCAAGTGTGAAGCGTAAGAGCCGTCCATGCGCGCATCTGTTTCAATTTTGCAGTTGGAATGATTCTGAATGACTTTATCCCGAGTGCTTCAATACAAGTAAATGAGCGGGCGAACGGTACACTGCTTATGGAATTAGAATTAGCACCCCCGATGACGCTCTATCGTTAATGTTGGAGCACGCACTGTTCGTTTGAGCATGTCTCATACTTCGAGCGCGGAGTACCATTGCAGGAGAAGATCAACATGTCACTAGTTTCCACTTTTGCAAAACACCCAAGCACACTGGTCAAGCATCTCAGCTTCCTGGATAGCTGCATCACCACCGGTAGCCAAATCAGCGAAGAAGATACTCTACTCATCGGTAGAGCACCGTAGGACGTCTGAAAATCCAAAAATTTAAGAAAAAAGTAAAATATCATTTAGAGGCACCACTCACAACGTCGCCTTGTGGTTATTGGTACTGTGCAGAACAGAAACATGGCTAGTGTCCGCTGTAGACATTAAGAGACTGACTCTCTTAGGCACCGGCGAGTAAGCGAATATCAGCAGTACGCCGATGCCTTGTACTGGCAGTTGTGCGCAGGTTAGGATACTGCCTGCGCACCCATACCTAGGAGCAGACAGAGACTTGAATTGGGACGCAAAGTTGCAAATCAGACGTCTACGCAGCGTTCTTCGTATCTGGTTGAGCCAATAAGCAAACGATATTGAGGCCAGTCAGATGGTGAATAGCAACGAACTCTGGTACCACTGTGAACCGCTGGTCGCGAATGAACCAATTACGCTGGCTTTGCTCCCTACATAGTGTGCCCATTGATGGGGTATCTCGGCGCAAGTTACTCACCCGTACTGCGCCATAGTGAAGAAAACTCCAAGGAGGTCAACGGATGGAATGATAAAAAGCAGCAGAGAATGGGGACCGGGGGACACGTCACCTCGGTGCACGCGACGTTGGTATAGAGATGTTTCGGAATCTGACAAATCGGGGTTGCAAACGCCATCCGACATTGCCTAATTACCAAACCGTTGGGTACCCTTGCTCGAAACCCTTTCTTCTTGCTGTCAAATCGATCACCGGATAATTTTGACTTCTTCAGTTTACGTTCAGAGGAAACTTGCATCCGGCATCCTTAGTACCCACGCAGTTTCCACATCATCACTTAGGGAACAATGTCTTAGAAGAGGCAAACAAATCCAAACCGTAACAAGTCCCACAACACATTTGAGGTAAGAACTTCGAAGACAAGAATACACGTGTAGACACACTAAACTGATTCTCAGTGAAATCTTCATGATGCTTATATGAACAGAGGAGTACATCTGCACACCAACAGTATATGGTGGATGCTGAGGGGCACATCGTTTGTCTGCATTATATCGTCCCCGTTTAAACATGGCTGTATTACGCAATGCTGCCAAATTAATGGGTCATCGTACTATTTAACGACGCTAAAACGATGCGCAACTGATGATTTTGCTAAGGATTATTCGCTGTAATTTTGCTAAACGTAGTTTAAAGAGAGCAAGCAAGTATAAAACTGAGCACAGAGTGTAAAGTTTGGTGTGGGCAACATTCAACCTGTATCTGTTTCGTAGGTAATAACAGTGACGGGACCGACTGAGGTTGACTTCATAGTTGTGGTGTTGCCATTTCACGCTATTCATCGGTCCATAGAACCCTCGTCGTGATTGGTCGCGAATTATACGCCCGCTTAACGGACATTGGACGTATACAGTCGTTTGCTTCTGGTTGGCTTGCGTGAATGGCTTAGTTGTTACCACCGCTTTTACGTGTTCATAATGTCCATACATCCGTTTCCATTCCTGAGCTACTGTTCCGTTTTCACGGACACAACATTAGTAAGTCGCGGTTTAGATTAAGGTTGCTTACGGCAGTCCACCCCCAGTACCGACAATCCAAGCAATGAGACACCAAGCATTGTAACAATCGTTGTCCACGGAGTTCCTTGGTGCTGTTACGACTGTGGGTGGCTGCGTAACAGCGGAGTACAGGTACGGCGTTAGTGAATCAAGGACGTGTTTCTGTCACGGCTGTTCCTCTTCGCCAATATGTGCCACAGTAATAATAATAATAATAATAATAATAATAATAATAATGTGTCAGCTGTACGCCGTAACGGCGCTTCGCTACCGTGCGACCAACCCCAGTCGCCAGCGGTCTGAGTATGCGGCGAGGACGCCCACCCCTACGAGAATTCGTACCCGCGCCGCAAGCTTATGGGACAAACTCATTACTCTAGGTTACGGGCCGACGTGTGCCACAAAGGACCATCATCATCATCGTCATCATCATCATCATCACCCTCATCAGCATCCTCATCCTCCTCCTCCTCCTCATCATCATCACCATCATCATCAACATCATAATCATAATCATCATCGTCATCAGCATCATCATCACGAACAGCAGTACACCAGCCATTGGAACTGACGCTTCGCTGCCATACAACCATGATGACCTATGAAATAAAGAATAAGAAGATGGAGAGAAGGGGGACTTACCTGAAAACCTTAATGCCCAAAACAACATTCAGAGTCAAGGCGCCTACACCTTGTGTAGACAACATACCGTCACAAACAGCTGGCTATCGTGCAAAGATAAGGAGGCATAAGCGAGACAGCTTCCTTGCGGTTTCCACTGCCACGCATCATAATCAGCCATTACCCCGCAGATAACTCAGCACCAAATACACTTTAAACAGGCAATCCAATTAGGAGACGGCAGCAGACGCGCCACTGGTGTCGGTTGCGAACCTGGTCCTGTAAAATCTGGAGCCAAGCACAAGGCAAGTCACGTGAACGGGAGCCCGGAAGGCGAGACAGACTAACAACACGCAGTTTTGTCGTCAGTGACTTCATTTCTCACTGTCAATTCAACTTCTGTCCATCTCGAGCCTTGCGCCACCGTACACCTGGTAGACTAAACAAGGCCCTCCTAGGTAAACGGTGACCAGGCATACGTAGCACGTGCCCGAGCCAACGCAACTTATTCAGTGCTATCTGTTGTTCAGGGAGCTAGCATGAATATCACTATCTAGTACTCGCCTACGCGCATCATCGTTGCAGACACGCTGGTGCCATCCGACACCAGCAATGCTTCGCAGACAACGATGATCAAAGACTTGAAGGCGCCTCAGATCTTCAGACCGAAGGGGTCAAGTCTCACTACCATAGAGCAGAATGGCCCTCACTGTGGCCTTGTATACATGGCCTTTCAGGCGGAGGGAAATTATCTTCTGTCTCCAAAGATGCCGCAGGTTCAAGAAAGCAGCTCTGGCCTTTGCAATGCGTGAACTGACCACAAAGGACCATACAGAATTGTTAACTATTCATGGGAGTACCGAAAAAGCTGAAATGCCCGAACACCCTCCGATACGAGTGGCGACAGCCAGATCGACCGCACTTCGGCGCGTTGGGGAGGATTGCAAGCAGTTCCGTATCAGTTATGATCAGCGGCACAGCTGACTGCTGCACTATCTGGATGGAAATCTTGAACCAAATCATTCCATTCGGATCATTCGTGGTTAAGAGGAATGAGTATAAAAATTAAGGTCGAAATTTGATAACGACTGAGGAATAGATGGCTATTTTAACCGCTGTGATGCAGCGCAACCAATTCTACACTGATACACAGATGGCTGCGCTGCTACCTAAAATACGACTCAACTAGCCAGATCCCCGAATGTCTGATGGCATCATAAAATACACAGACAGTTACGGATGTTCTCATTTGGAATGCCAGCATTAATTAGACAGTGTATGAAAAATGCCTATGAGTTAGGTTGATTCCTGATTTCGTAGACTCACCTCTAATGCGCTTTCCCATTTGTTCACACTTCTGTACATGGCAACCGCCTCTCCAACAGCATTGTGTGCCAGCAGGATATGCTCCGCAGACTTGAAATCTTTTCCCAACAAAGCAAGCCGGGCTTCAACTTGGTATGCCACTGTATCATTCGTCGTGGAAGCCATTTCTCTAGTTTGACGCAAATACCGGACCTTACTGATGCATCCAAGAGCAGCGTAACATCGCTCAGCAATTAGAAGTTCACCTGCTTTGAGTGAAGCGTCAGCTAACTTTGACCACATTGTCCTTGTCTCTGGGGTCACATCCAAACTGTCCAAAAAGGCGATTGCTCGGTAGAAATTCCCGTCATCCATCGCTGTACTGAATTCAATCAGTCCGTCATCCAGGGCATACGAAACCGATGCAAGGCCTTCGCTGACAACCACTTCTGTTTTGCCGTTCTGACGCACAATGTCGAGGATATCACCACCTTTGAGTGGGATGGAGGTCATTCGATCGGGGGCTTCAATATTGTACCATATACACAGTGTTTCTCGAGATTGAGCCACCACCACATCGCTTTGTGGGACCCATTGCACATAGGAACAAACTTGCAACAAAGTGGTCTTCACCCCCGTCTCCGAGTCATAAAGTAGCAGCTGCATCTTTTTGTCTCGGAACAACAATTTCCGTCCGGTCTCGTTCAACTCTATCCAATCCACTTTGGTATCGTGTTGTAATTGGCACAGTGTCACTCCCGTGCAAAGGTCGTTGATAGCAATAGTCTTGGAGTCCAACATGTATGCAATTTTCTTGTTCACCTCCTCCGCACCGGACTGGCGCTCATTGATACGAATACTGATCAGGTATGGAGTAGTGAACACGGTTCGCACAGACCCCACCACCTCATTCACACCGTATTCGATCACAACTACCTCGCCCGGCCCGAAGATCACGCACAAATTTCGATAGCCAAAGTAAAACGTAACCTTACTTCCCCTACTTGTCCAATGCACTTCGCTCAGTCGATTCTCCTTCAAGTCTCCCAGCATTAATGTCTCGGTGGTGTGCGCTACCAAGTAACGATCACTGCCCATCACGCGCACATCGTCGATCTCGTAACCAAAATACGACTGCAACATCACACGTTCACCAGATTGCATATTTTTCACGATCACTTGACTTGGACTCACGTAATTCAGCTCAAAAATATTTTTGTGTATTCGTCGCTTGACGCAGCAGTCGAACTGCTCAACCGCACCGCACACGGTGCCCACTGTGAGTTTGGAACCATCTCGCTTCCAAGCCATTGCCGTAATTGTATAAAGGTGGAGAATTTCCTTCGCTTTACTCTCCTCCCATATGGATTTACGGGGACTCCAGCAAAATATACGAATGCGGTCGAAACTGCCAAACGCCACCACCTGTCCTGCCGGATTTTCCGTAGCCACAGTGAATTCTTTTTCGCTGTCATCTTTGCTGTAATCAAACTGCTGCAGCACCCGACCCTCCCTATTGTACACGTAGATGCGTCTGTCGCACCCTCCAGCCAGAATGGTCTCAGAAGTCCATACAAGAGCATACGGTGCGGTCGGATGAACAGCTACTTTACCCTGCGTGCCCCCGGAACCGTCACCGTCGAAAAAGTAGCGGATTATTTTACCATCTGCGTGACCAGATATGAAACCTTTCCCAGAGCTATTGTACGCCAATGAGACAACATAAGAGTCTGCATTGTATATAGTTGAGGATTTGTTCGTCTTGGGATTAGCTGCTCTGACTTTACCGTTGGCCAACCCACAAATAATAGGCTGTGCAGGCGGCCAGAGAACGACGGTTGCGGGACTTTGTTGGAGGAACTTGTTGCAAATCACCTTTTTGTCGTCCCAGTCCTCACCAAATTTGTAGACGAAAACAACGTTGTCCGACTGTGCGATGGCCAATTTCACAGAGTCAGGTGAGAATACCATACACTTGACAACAAAATCTTTCTTGCCGCCGTCGCTTTTCGAATCAACTGATTTGGCCGAAAATCGATCACGCCGCTCACCCAGTTCATCGAAAATGCAAATAATTTTATCATTCGTGCATACGGCCAACTTTTTGTTGTCCGGGGACCAAGTAAGGCAGTTAATTCTGGCTTCTGTATTTTGGGGTGCTACAATGGTTTGTACATGTTTCAGACGCATTCTCTGGGGTAGGATACATTCCAAATTGGTTAGAAATCTAAAATTGGCAAAGGGATGGTGCATTAGAGACGTAGGCATGCGGCTTAAACAGAACAGCATAATGAAATCAGGCGAGGTCTTGTACAGCCATTGTAGTAACCACATCCACAGCAACAAGACTGACAAAGGAACTCATGTCACTGGAGAAGGCGATGTACCGCAATTAACCAGTGGCCTATCCCATGTCAACCTCACTAGTTCTAGTTGTGATCAAGGCAGCCTTAAGAACCACAGGTTTATTTAAATGCGTGCGAAACTCCATTGGTGGGTTAAGTTTGTTAAGCTCGTCGTTTGGTGAAGGATTGCCCTGTCTCTACAGTGCAGTAACGCGCAGTTCAGTGGATAGTGAGCGGCGCCAGAACACCTCTGGTAAGTTAGTTACGATTCCGTTACCGTCCCCCGTGGCTCAATGACCGTAACTACAGACTGGCAACAGTCGTGTTACAGGTTCCAGCCACACAGACGGCAGACGGAAGGAGTACTGAAGGGATGAAACGAACGTATAGTGCTTTTCCGGGTATGTGCCGGCTGTCTGACAGAGTTTATATGTGATGGATTTCTACCTATACCATTCAACCCCCACAACTACTGCTAATGGTTCATAACATTCGCTCAATGAACGCGATGCCTGGCGTGTCTCAGGCTAAAGATAAAAGTGGATAATGCGCCGAACTTGACAAAGTGGGCATTCCGTTTCCCAACTGGTGCAAGCGTTTTCATGCGAAATGCGTCCGATTGAAAGCTATCCAAGCCAAATGGTTAAACAGTAAACCAGATTCGCTCTGGTTCTGCATGGAATGTACGTTTATCCCACTGCTAAAAAGCTTACTCCTATAAGCTAAGTACAACCAAGTAATAGCCAAGTGTAAGGAAATGGTGACCACCGAAATCACCAGAGTTGAGATAAACATAGCGGATAATGCAACCCAGATCTCCCCAGTAAGTGATTCTCCAAACCTGAGAAGGTCGGCTGGTACTAGCGTAAGCAAAACGACTCCGAATGCCCAGAAAATCAGCTAGTGTTCCAATACCACAATACCACAAATTCTTTTAATGCGGTTCCCTGTTCGATCGGAGTAACTGCATGCAGGGCCCTGTCCAATCTCCCGACTCAGTGTATAGCAAAAGAGCAAGCTGGTACAAGTGGAAGTTGGGATACGACTGTTTACAAGAAGGGCTATGTAAAAGCAACAGCACCCCAACTGGATCAGAAAATGAGGGGCGAAGCGGAGTTTTCCTGGTGCAAGCACCACCGGTTTTCTGCGATACATCACTGAGTATTTTAATCACTACCGGTGGCTTGTCGAAAGATAATGAAATACAACGACCTGTACTGAGTATACTATGTTCTAACATTCCAGAATCAAAGTCGACGTCAATTAGAGACAGGCAGATGGATGAACTCGACCAGTAGGACGTCCTTAGTAACCTACTCGGTGATGTGCCTAAAACTGAACGTGCAGTGCGAAGCACGCGGAAGCCTAACTCTAAACATCACAAGGATTGCTGCGCTTTATGTTGAAGTCCATCACCGAAGCAAAATCAGTTCTGATGTTTACAGGTCGACTCCGAAACCTACACTGCTCGATTCGTGTCTTTCTACATATCCCGTGGGTAAGTAAGTAAGTAATCTCAGCAGTCAATCAACTAGACACAGAGCCAACAGAAAACCATAGAGATCAGTAGATAAGAGACAGCCATCGCGTCATAATCATCGTGACATAGTAGTTGAAGGTGAGCAACACAATTCAGCTAATATGCCGCAGGAAGAATGGAACATTTTGACAAAAAGTAGAACAAAAAATTTTAGTTGGTTTTCACACGTCGATTTTGCTCTTTTTTTGTCATTTTCAATGTTTGAAGTATTAGACATGTTAATCAATACGATACTGTACACAACTCGTCCACCTAGTCCGGTTGCGGGCAATGTCTTCAAGAGTGTTAAGTCATTGACACTCCTCATCTTTGGGTCCCCATCCTGGAACACGTACGGACCCAAAAGCGGCCAGACATGACGTCAGCGATTTCATGTGCTGCCGCCAAGTGGAAGGCTGACCACCACGCGGTCGCCTCCAGCCAGCTCCTTGATGACCGAATAGAGCGCGACGCGGTAGACGCTCAGATGTCATGCGTAGGACGTGACCCAGCCATCTCAACTGGTGCAACAAAACCGGTTTGTTAAAGGGAACACTCGCATTCGCCAAAATGCGACGTTGAACGTCATTACCGTTAACTCGATGTTGCCACGAAACACGAGCAATCCTAGTTAAGCAACCGTTATCGAAGGCAGAAAGATGACGCATTTCTTCTACACGAATCGGCCAGGACTCGCTCACATACAATAATACTGAACGCACAGATGCACTGTAAACGCGGCACTTTAGCGAGAATGTAAGTCGCAACGACGCCACAAGTGCCTCAGATTGACAAATGTTGATCGAGCTTTAGCGATGCGAAGAGAAACTTCTTTGTTGATAGTGTTGTCAGCAGAAACACAGCTCCCAAGGTAGACCAAACTATCTAGCTGTTCAAGTTGTGCACCTTGGAGAGTGAGCACAGGAGCAGGTGAAAGCCAATCCTTGAGCAGTACTTTACACTTCGATGGGGCGAAGCTCATGCCATACTTAGATGCTTCAACTGTCAAACGATCCAGAATGAGTTGCATACCCTGAGAATCGTCTCCAAGTAAGGCGATATCATCAGCATAGTCTACGTCGGTCGAGCGCTTACACGGCAGAAGCTCTAGGCCAAGATGTTGTAAGCCTTCTAGAGTATTCGACAGAACCTCCTCGATCGCGAAGTTAAAGAGGAATGGGGACATAGGGCAGCCCTGTCGCACATCGCTATTGACAGCGAATTGCGAGGAATGCTTGCCACAGACCCTCATTCTGCTGGATGTATGAAGGTAAAGTGCTCGTAAGATGGCGGTATATTTCTCTGGCACCCCGTTCTTTAGCAAGCAACGGCATAAAGCAGCTCGACCAACGGAGTCAAAAGCGACACGTATGTCTAGGAATGCAACGATAGTAGGCCTGTGATAAATGTGGCGATGTTCGAGGAGCTGGCGGAGCGTGAAGATTTGATCCACGCATCCGCGGCCAGGACGAAAACCAGCTAGTTCTCCATGGTAGGATGATTCACGTACTGGGGAGAGTCTGCGAAGCAGAATGGATGCCAATAGCTCGGAGGCAACCGAAATAAGACTGATCCCACGATGCTTTATATATGAAGTGCGGGCGTCTTTCTTGAAAATCGCGGCAATAATTGATTCGCCCCAAGAGGAAGGTACTATCTCTCCATGCCAGATTTTTACGAACAGCGCGGTCAGCTGGTTAATGATCGCCACACCGCCGTACTTGAACAGCTCCGGAGGAAGTCTCGCTGAGCCGGCAGTCTTGAACCGCTTCAAACGTCGAATCTTGAGGCGGACTTCTGCTTCGCTGGGTGGATTCAATGGGACGAGCGAGGGTGGACAACAAGGTGCACTACAAGTACTGATGGACGGTGGAGGCCAGTTGAACTACGAGTGAAAGTGCTCGGCCCAGCGGTCCATACGCCTTTGTCGGTTGGTGATCGCAGACTCATCACCTCGTAAATAACCTCACGGACACCAGAGTTCCTGAAGCCAGTGGATCGAATGAGTTGGAAGAGTCTGCAAGAGTTTCCAGAGAGGACATCGGTCTCCATCTCTAAAGCACGCTCGGAGCACCATGTCTCACTATCCTTGCATAGGCTTTGCTTGAGCAGCCGGTGGGCAGAACGGCGCCCCTAGTTGCAATTTGACTCCGCCAGGATATCATTGCGGCGTTCGAACAGCTTCAGAGAACGATCAGAGATCTAAGCCTTTAAGGGGCGTCGAGTTAGGCTGCAGCTTAACTGACCGGAAATGGTTATCGCTTTCCGTAAACAACTCCAGTGTTGCTCCACGTCTTGCGGTGGATTGCAACTGAGTGCATATGCCAGTGAAGACTGATAGCTCGCCTGGACAGAGGAATAAGTTAATTTGTTTAAATCAATCTTAAGGTGCTTCGTGTTTCGGGATCTCCAAAACACATACAGAGTTTCGCGCAGACCAGTGCAGGATCTGAGTCAACGAAGGTGGACCAAAAAGACCTGCACTCCAGTACCCTGCCGCGCCCTCTGAAGCTAATTGCAAGGTGATCAATTTGAGACCACGGATGTGTTGAAGAAGGGGGAAGCCACGATGCGGAACGCTTCCTCGTACGCCTGAAGTTAGCGCTCGAGAAAAACTGGTGGATGTCTTCGCACAATGTGAGAAGCCTCTTTCCGTTATCAGAGCAGTTCCCATCGAGCGCGTGTTGACCACCAAGGTGGCGTTCGTATGGTAACTGACGACCAACCTGTGCATTAAAATCCCCAGCAAGAACAACGACATCCGACTTTTAGCATTACTAAAGAGCAGATATATAATGTGGTAGAACTCGTCCTTGACCGAGTCGCCACTGCAGTCAGTTGGAGCGTATACGGAGATCACAAACAAGTTGTGTCGCTCTTCGCGGTGTCTGTTGATTCTACATGAACCCCGAAGCCGAACTGCACATAGTCGGCTGTTAATCGGAAACCAGTCCAGTAGTGCCGCCTCGGCCTTGCCACTTAGTGCTATACCTACACCAACCAAACCCGCTGGGGCTGCCTCTGGATCTCCAGAAAGACGCAGGTGATATCTGGCTTCGTGGTCAATGGGGGATGTCAATATAATCACAGTCTGGGATCTTGCAATAGGGTTTCTGAAAGGCAGAAGACATCAATGTCCACGGACTCTAGGGTGCGCGCTATAACGACTTACTGTCCAATCTGCATGAGTATCCGAATGTTGAAGCACGCCAGACGGAAGGAGGATCGGGGACGAAGGAGAGCCACAGGTTTAAATCCTTGGTCTGTGGCGTAAACGGAATCGCAGCCAGATTGTTGAGCACATGAATCGAGTAACGGAACGTGAGGATTGTTAACAAACAAACAATTGACGTGTGATGAAGT